AGCAAGTGTGGACACTTAGATGTGCTGGCATGTGCACCCCACCGCCTCTTCCCCCCACCAACCTCAGCTCCCATGGATCAGATAGGAAGCCTCTTCCAGCCCAGCCCCACACCAGGCATGGCTTCTAGTGCAGGTGGCCCCATGTCCCTGCTGTGCCTGGAGGAGTTACCTGACTGAGTGTCTGCCTGGTGAAGCTCCAGCTTGGGTCTGCCCTCTCCAGAGCTGCGTGTCTCTCACCTGGATGGCCGGTTGCCTGCCTCCGTAAGCCCAGTTGGCTCTTGTTCGGAAGGTCAGGTCATGTGATAGGAATCAAACCAGATCGTGTTCAGTACGTTGCCCTGGGCCATAGCCAGAACTGCCCATGTCAAAAACCGGCCCTGTGTTTGACCTCCATTCTCATCATGATCACTTAGGACAGGGGCTATGATGTCCCCATTCTGGGGCACTCTCTCAGCACCAGCACTTCCCTGATCCAAGGATGACTGCATTACGCTCAAACCACATACAATTTATTAAACAGCAACTGTAAGAAAAATAATGAACACATGGAAAAAACTATGAGAAAAAAGGAAAGCCACTCTATGGGCATGGGGAACACCAAAAACATCTGTCTCTGGGATGTAAGAAAAAAATATCAATCTATTTCTCACACGTAACAGGCCTCCCTCCCAGCCCTGGATGCTCCTGGTGATACCACGGGTAAGACACCTGCTCTGACAGCGTCCACACTCCCTCAGGCTCTAGGTGGCAGGACCCTCCCCCTCCCAGCATCAGGCCCCCCATCAGGTTCACATGCCCCACTCTGAGTCCAGCCTTCAAAGCCCTCCTGTCTAGCAATGTCTCCCTGTCCTGGACTCTCTGCCCATGGCCCCACCTTGTTCTCCCCAGTAACTCATCGTGCTCAGCGGCCATGTTACCTGTGGCACATCCGGCACCCACTATCCTGGCTCTGGCCCCACAGTTCCCTGCTGTAGCTCAGCCCTGGTTATCCATAGGTGCAGCTGGGCTGCGCTGCCCCAGCTCCTTACTCTGGTCTTCTTCAGGCCCCCAGCTGTGCCTCAGTGCTGCTGCTCTACCTCTGGCCCAGGTCCGGGCTTGTGGTTGCCAGGTTTCTACTGCATTAATAGCCCAACGCCACTTAATAAACATGGGCTACTTTTGGGTTAGTTTTTAACTATACATCAAGTACCGAATGAAAACTTGTGTTAGATACCTAGTACAGATTTGATTAAAAAAACCCTATGAGCCCCAGCGAGAGTTCACATTAGCCACAAAGCGAGATGAAAATCAAATTCACATTCAAAGCCCCAATACTAGTATCCCAATTGAGGTTCGGCAGATGTTTCAAACAAAAAATGGTGAATGACAGTGTTTAAAATAACGCAAATGTAGCCCAAAATGTATGTGGTGAAAAAAAAATCATATTATTTTTTTTCATTCAGTCGTAGTAGTCAATGTCCATATTTTGTGTTGATTTAGTTTGTTACTGTTAGTCTCTAAAAGGCAACATTTCATCCTCGCTGTCTTCGTCACAAGTAGAATTCTTCTGCTGCTGCTCATCCATCAGCAGTGACCAGTGCAATCATTTCTTTCGTCGGTGTAAACTCTTCACAACAGATTTTGTGTCATTGCAGATATGCCCCCTAACATGAAGAATGTTTTCTATACGCTGCTCTTGCATCTTGTTGTGCAGTTTTGTTTTTATCAAGTTCATCTGAGAAAACAATATTTCTATGTTAGTGTTGCTAACAGGTAATGACAGCAGCAAAAGAGGAAATGAGCCAAGTTCTCTAAAGACTATCTCCTCAATGACATCCATGTTTTTGAGAACTTCAATCCAAAACTGCTCAACTTGGTTGTCCTGAGTAAGAGTGAGCCATAGACATAACTATGGATGACTTCGAGTGAGCCATAGGCATAACTTTCCACTGCTGCTCCAAGTGTTCAAGGTCTCCACAAAACAATGGCAAAAAAGAGATATCAGCTAATCTTGGTCGTGAGGGGCTGATCACAGGGGAAGGTCTTAGTACTGCAAGTGTTTCAATCATCTGGACATTTGGTGGCAATCCCTGTTTCACACACTCCAACATGAAATCTCGACACCTACATTTGATGTCTTTAACAGCAGGAATCGTTAGTGTGTAGTTTGAATGTTCCAGTAGAAAATCAACTCCAAAATCAACCAGGTAAAGCTGGGGGAGGCATAGCTCAATGGTTTGAGCAGTAGCCTGCTAAACCCAGGGTTGTGAGTTCAATCCTTGAGGGGGCCACTTAGGGATCTAGGGTAAAGTCAGTACTTGGTCCTGCTAGTGGAAGCAGGGGGCTGGACTCAATGATCTTTCGGGGTCCCTTCCAGTTCTATGAGATATGTATATCTCCATTTATTATTAAGCAGTAAGTTATTTGACTCAAAGGTGATGTCATAGTTTAACACAGCAGTCCAGTTCTCAAAAACACACAGATTCATAACACTCACCAACGAGCTCTAGTTGAATGACCTTAAATCCTACAGCAGCTTTCCTCTATTAGCACTTTGCAACTGAAACATTTGGTTTATCCTCCAGCCTTCCTGAGTGATTGGAAGTAGACAAATCAGGTACATTTTGTTCAACGAATCATTGCACATACAATAAGTAGTTCAGCATCGTAGTTTCTTTCTTTGTCTTTGTCTATGTGAAAGCATAGCTTTCGTTCATCCAAACTGATCCAGAACCCTGTTCACAAAGGGATTAATGGACAGCCACCTTGCATCAGACAGCTGCGAGATATTTTGGTGGTCTGGAAGTCACTGAAAAGCTGATTGACAGGGTTTGTGGGGCTGAGGGCTGACGGGTGATGCTGAAAGAGGTCAGGTGATGGTCAGAGAGCAGGAACTCAGCAACAGGGAGAGGAGAACTTGGTGATGGAGTTATAAGACTTTAGGTGTGAGGAACTTCTCAGACTCTGAACTTCAACAATGTTGAGCTCAGCCAAATGGGGACAGAGCACCCTTGATTTATGAGGAGATATCCTTCCCCCTCTTGTCACAGAGGTTTAAAGTCAGTGCCCCCTAACAATCACATTCTGCAGGTGTATTTGCCCACATTGTCACGAAGCTCTTTGGATTTGACCCCATAAATGATAGGGTTGAGCATGGGGGGGATGAGGAAATAGAGGTTGGCCAAGATGATGTGAACGTAGGGAGTGATGCCCTGACCGAACCGGTGGGTCATGTGGGAGAAGAGGAAGGGAATATAAGATGTCAGCATCACACAGATGTGGGCTGTGCAGGTGTTGAGGGCTTTTTGGTGGGCTTCCTTGGAGGACATTCTTAGGACAGCCCTGATGATCAGACCATAGGATAGGGCAATGAGCGTCAGGTCTAATGCGAGGACTACCAATGTTATCACCAAGGCGTATGTCCTGTTAACTGAGATGTCCCCACATGATATCTTCGCTACAGCTATGTGCTCACAGTAAGTGTGGGGGATAAAGCGGTTGCCACAGTATGGGAGCCTGCTCAGGAGAAGGGGCAGGGGCAGAACGAAGAGAACAGCTCGCAACAAACCCACTAGCACCAGCTTAGATATTCGTGCATTGGTGAGGATAGTGGCATATCTCAGAGGGTCACATATGGCAACATAGCGATCGTAGGCCATTGTCACGAGGACGGCTGAGTTCATCATAGCACCTGCGTGAAGGAAGAATGTCTGGGTGAGGCAGCCACCCACAGTAATGCCTTTCAAATTGAACCAAAATATACACAGTGCCTTTGGCACAATGGAGGTAGACATGCCGATGTCTGTGAGCGCCAGCATGCAGAGCAGCAGGTACATCGGCTTGTGTAGGGTCTCCTCTTTGCCTACAACAAACAGAACTATGAAATTTCCCAAAAGGCCGATAATGTAGGACGTAGAGAAAGGGATGGAAATCCAGACGTGGGCAGCTTCCAGGCCAGGGATGCCTGTTAGGATGAATGTTGAAGGGTCAGAAGGGATGAGGTTGAAAACTGCCATGAGGTGGTCGATATGTTGTTCGGGCTCAGAAATGTTCAATATGTCTGTGAAAGAAGAGAAACAGAGAGATGGTGTGAAACACTCCAGTATACACCACTGTCACGTAATTAAGATAAGTCTTATTCAAAATATGCCTTGTGAGGTGTCATTCAAAAAGTCTTGATCTGCTGGACAGTAATATCTCGTTGGATTATATGTACTATCATTGTATGTGAAGTTATGAAGTTTGGCTATGTATGTGTTGCTGAA